GGCCGGGACTGCCTGGGCTGCGCCAAGACGGGCAGCGGGAAGACGGCGGCCTTTGTGCTGCCCGTGCTGCAGGCGCTCTCCGAGGACCCCTACGGCATCTTCTGCCTCGTGCTGACCCCCACCAGGTACCGAGGGACCCCCGCGGCGGGCTGAGCTGCCCCTGCCGCCGGGAACCGCCCCCCTGAGCTGCCCCTCCTTCCCTCCCTCCCTCCGCAGGGAACTCGCGCAGCAGATCGCGGAGCAGTTCCGAGTGCTGGGGAAGCCCCTGGGCCTCAAGGACTGTGTGGTCGTGGGCGGCCTCGGTGAGCAATACACACAATATGTTGTTTTATAATACATAATGTTTTATATTGTTTGCATTGTTATATCTTTATACGTATGTATATAACGTACACAGTACATGCATGTACAATACACATACTATCTATACAACATCCAAACACACCTGCCCTGTTCCCCACGCAGACATGGTGGCCCAGGCCCTGGAGTTGGCCAGGAAGCCCCACGTGGTGGTGGCCACGCCGGGCCGGTTGGCCGATCACCTGCGCAGCTCCAGCACCTTCAGCCTCAGGAAGCTCAGATTCCTGGTAAGGCCCTTTCTTCCCAAGGGGTTTTTTTTGGGGATGCCCCGTGGGTGTCCCCAGCCGGCTGAGCGCTGAGGGGGCTCCGTTCCCAGGTGCTGGACGAGGCTGACAGGCTGCTGGAGCAGGGCTGTGCCGACTTCACCGCCGACCTGGAGCTCATCCTGGAGCACGTCCCGGCGCGGCGCCAGACCCTGCTGTTCAGTGCCACCCTCACTGCCACCCTCAGCGAGCTCAGGGGCCTGGCTGCCAACGAGCCCTTCTTCTGGGAGGCCCAGTCTGAGTGAGTCTGGAGCAATCCCGTCCCCTCCCTGCTCCTTATCCATGGTTTTGCTGTCCCATCCCCTGCTGAGGCACCTCCACTGCTGGGCCCACTGTGGGAGACACACTGAGGGGCTGGAGTGTGTCCAGAGAAGGGAATGGGGCTGGAGCACAAGGAGGAGGGACTGGAGAACTCCTGAGGGAGCTGGGGGGGCTCAGCCTGAAGAAAAGGAGGCTTCAGGGGGAACCTTCTGGCTCTGTAACCCCCTGATGGGAGAGGGGAGCCAAGGGGGGGTCGGGCTCTGCTCTCAGGGAACAACAGGACAAGAGGGAAAGGCCTCAAGCTGTGCCAGGGGAGGGTCAGGCTGGACATCAGGAGGGATTTCTCCATGGAAGGGGTGCTCAGGCACTGGAAGGGGCTGCCCAGGGAGGTTTGGAATCCTCACCCCTGGAAGTGTCTGAGGAAAGCCTGGACCTGGCACTCAGTGCTCTGGGCTGGGGGACAAGGAGGGGGTCAGGCACAGGGTGGGAGGGCTTTTCCAGCCTCAGTGATTGTGGGATTCTGGGATTCCCCTGATCCTCACTTGGTGCTCCCCCCTGGCAGGGTGAGGACGGTGGAGGAGCTGGACCAGCGGTACCTGCTCGTGCCCGAGGCAGTGAAAGATGCCTACCTGGTGCACCTGATCCAGACCTTCCAGGACGAGCACGAGGACTGGTCCATCATCATCTTCACTAAAACCTGCAAGTGAGTGGAGTTGCTCCTTGGGGCTGCTGGCACAGGTTGCCCAGAGAAGCTGTGGCTGCCCCATCCCTGGCAGTGTCCAGGGCCAGGTCCAGTGGAAGGGTGTTCCTGCCCCTGTCCCAGCTCTGTCCTGAGCCGTTTCCTTGGCACATCCTGATTGTTTTTCTGTTTTTCTTTCCTTCAAGGGACTGCCAGGTCTTGAACATGATGCTCAGGAAGTACAACTTCCCTTCTGTAGCTCTGCATTCCATGATGAAGCAGGTGAGGGGTGGGCAGATCTGGGAGGGGGCTGCTTGTCCAGCTGCATCCCTGAGCTGGGAGACTCCAAGCCCTGCAGCTCCTGTGGATCCAAATCCCTCACACAGACTTTTCTCTCCACAGAGGCAGCGATTTGCAGCTTTAGCCAAGTTCAAATCCAGCATCTTCAAGATTCTCATTGCCACTGACGTCGCTGCCAGGTACAACATGGGCTCTGTTCCCAAAGGTCACAACCACTGTGGAGTTTAGGCTGAGTTTAGCAAGAGGAGACCCTTAAATCCCCTACACTTGGGTGGGGCAGGGGTGTTCACATCACCTCTGAGCTGTGTTTTGGAGCCTGTGTGTGTGTGTGAAGTAGCTCTGACCGGGTGTGTGTGTGTTTAGGAGGAAGGTTTCTCTGAGGCTCAGTGTGTTCCCTGGAATTTCTTAACTGCTGGAGAGTTGTGTGAGGAAAGAGTTTGTCCTCCAATCAGCCAATAAAGACCATATTCATGGAATATGGGGCTGCTGGAGGAAGCAGAGAGCAGGAATTGAACTGCAGACACCCCTGGGATAGTGGAAGGTGTGGGTGGAATCTTTAAGGTCCCTCCCAACCCAAACCAAAATTTTATAATTCCATCATGCTAAAGCTGTTTTCTCACCCTCTGCTCTCTTTGCCTGCATTCCAGAGGGTTGGACATTCCCACAGTGCAGGTTGTGATCAATCACAACACTCCAGGCCTGCCCAAAATCTACATCCACCGGGTGGGCCGGACGGCGCGCGCGGGTGAGCGGCACAACTCCCACTGGGATCCTCGGCCCTGGGATCCAGGGAGGGGCTGAGCCCTGGGTGGGGAGGGTCAGGAGGTGTCCCAGCAGCACTGCAAGGTTCTCAGGCAGTGCCAGATCCACTGGGATCCCTGGAATCCTGCCTTGGGATCGCAGTGATGGATCACGCCGGGTCTGAGCCGCGCCGAGAGCGAACGGAATCTCTGGAGCAAATAAAGACCTCTCTGAGCACCCCTTGGGCTGACTCAGGGGTGTGAGTGGGTTTGGAAAGGGTTGGGTTCATCTCCCTCTGCCTGTCAGGACTCACCTGTCCCTGTTTTTGCACCCTGCAGGCCGGAAGGGAGTTGCCATCACCCTGGTGACACAGTACGACATCCACCTGGTGCACGCCATCGAGCAGGAGATCAGTGAGTGGGGCCTTGGGGCACCCTGCTGGAAGGTGGGATCACACACTGTAGCACTCAGAACCCTGATTGCATCAGCTTTAGCATCAAAAAGGGTTCTCTTCCCTGTGTGGCAAAGAGCAGGAGCACCAGAATTCCTGATTCAGCTCCCGAGTGCTTTGGGCAGGAGGTGTTTGTCCTGCTGTTTCTTGTGGAGTTCTCTCTGTAATCCCTTTGTCTCCCTTCTTGCCAAGGTGGACAAAAGGAACAGGTTGCTTCAGGTTCAGATTTCCCCATTTTTTGGGGGGAAGCAGAGCCAATAAATGCAGCATCTTGTGCTGTGGGCAGAGGGGAGGAGTGAACCTGCTGTGGGCTGAAGGGGTTGGAGTGATCAGAGCAACAATTCCCCCCATAGTCAGAGGAGCTGCAGTGGGTTTTTCACTAGTTGAGGATCTGCCCCTGGGGGTTTTTTTAACCAAGCCAACGGTGTGGAAATGTCTCACCCTGGTTCAGAGCTGCAGCTGAAGGAGTTCTCTGTGGAGGAGCAGCACGTGCTGGACATCCTCACCCAAGTGAACGTCACCAGGAGGGAGTGTGAGATTGTGAGTGGAACGAGGAGCCCCTTTGCCCAGGGGGCTGGAGATCCTGGGCAGATCCCTGCAGAAACACTTGGGTGGGGGGTGGGAGGGTTGTTTTGGTTTCTCTTCCCTTGGTTTGCTCTATTATTGCACAATTTTGCAGCATTTTTTTGCTGCTGGGTGTTGAAACTGGTACTTTTTGGTGGGCAGGCCCCAAAATGTCCTGGTGACCCTTTGGGGTTGTGCTGCTCCTCCCTGTGTCAGTCACTGACTGCCCTGCTGTGTTTTTCCTTTGCCAGGAGCTGGAGGGGATGGATTTTGATGAGAAGAAAGAAATAAATAAGAGGAAACAGATGATCCTGGAGGGGAAGGTGAGAGCTGGTTTGGTGTCCCTGGTGTGGAAAGGGAAGGACAGCTCCTCCCTCACTGCTGTGGGGTGAGGGCTCACTCCCCTTCTGGGTGCTGAGGGTTTATTTTAAAGGGTATATTAAATACTTTGAGATGAAAAAGTGCCCTGGAGGAGGGTCTGAGCTTGGCAGCCCCCTTCAGCCGTGGGTGCCTGGGAAGGGCCGAGGGGCTGCCCCGGCCGTGTCACCGGTGCCCCGCCTTTGCCACACTGCAGGATCCAGACCTGGAGGCCAAAAGGAAGGCAGAGCTGGCCAAGATCAAGAAGAAGAACAAGGAATGCCGGGAGAAGGTGCAGCAGACCCTGGAGAGGAGGAAGCAGCTGCAGCTGAGGAGGAAGCTGCAGAAGAAGATGGAGCGGCGGAACAAGAGGAAGGCGACGGAGGAGCAGTGACAGCCCCGGGCCTGGCCTGGCCTGGCCTGGTTGTGCTGCTGCTTTGGGAATATTGGGGTCTGACACCTTTTAATGTGGACACTTCTGACTGAAATCGGTGTTGGGGAGAAGGGAAGAATCCCAGAATCCCAGAATGGGTTGGCTTGGAAAGACCTTAAAGATCAACAAGTCCCACCCCCTGCCATGGGCAGGGAACACCTTCCACTAGCCCAGGTTGCTCCAGCCTGGCCTTGGACACTTCCAGGGATATGGGGCAGCCACAGCTTCTCTGGGAAATCCATTCCAGGGCTTCCCCACCCTCACAGGGAGGAGTTTTTTAATGCTGCACAGTCCTGGCTGGGCCATTCCTGGCAGGCTGGATCAGCCTCCTGGGGAATCTTTCAAGCAGATGTTTCCCTTCCTCCACCAAAGGAGAGGCCAGACCTGGATTTTTGGGGCCATAAAGCTCCTCTGCCTCTCCCCCTTCATTCAGTCCCTGCTCTCTCTCCCTTCCCAGGGCTGTGGTTGCCACTCACACTTGTTTGGATCAACAGATTCTCCCCTGAGCCAGAGTCTAAAAATACTGTGACAAAATGAGCTCAGCCTCTTGTCTGTGCCAGAGTTTTCCAAGAGGAAAATTCCTGGAGCACGTGTTGTGCTGTGTGGGGCTGATCCTGGGGTTTTTCTTGGAAGGATCCTGCTTTGTGCAGCTGATTGTTATTCCTGCCTGTGGTTTTACTGCCTTGGCTCAGGCTCCAGCCCTGGGTGTTATCCACAGGGATAGCAGAGTCCTGGCTGGGAGAGCAGGGCCCTGTTTTCCTGGATGATCAGTGGGTTCCAAGGCAGGTTCTGCACAGAAGATCCCCAGGGGCAGGATTCCCATGTTCCTTGTTCCATCCAAGAGAACAAAGTGGGGTTTCTGGAGCTCCCTGTGTATGTTTGGGACAGGGGGGTTGGTTATGCCAGAGGGGGCTGAGCCCTCCTAAAAAACCAGCTGAATTTCCTTGTGGAGACAGAAAAATCCCAGAGTTTGGCCAGCTCTGTTCCAGGGTCAGCTTTGCTCCTCAGTGCCTTTTCTATGGCTAAAAACCTGTTATTTCTGTCCTCTGGCTTAAAATAATTACTGTGGCCAGTGCCCAAATAAATATTTATTGCAACACGTGACTGGATCTTTGATTTTTTGGGGGAGTGAGGGGATTGTAGGGCCTTGAGGGTGGGGAGCAGCACCTGTGTGGAGGTAAAATGGGGTTTGTTTGAAGAGCTGGGTAAGGATTGAACCTGTTGTGGGTGTTGTATCCCTCTTTTCCTGGGAGTAGCAGTTCCTGAGGTGCCTTTCCCTCGTTGCCTCCCTCTCCCAGACACTTCCCAACCCTCTGTCTGGAGTCTCTGGTGGGGGTTTCTCTGTCTCCTTCCACGTGGGGTTTGATCAAGGGCTTTGTCTTCATCCAGAATTCCTTTTGATGCCTCCCTTGGCTGGGCTGGGAGGGGGGGACACGTGCTGGGAATCAGAGAATCAGAGCTCGGGGTGGTGCTGGTGACGTTCCTGCTTCCCAGCAGCAGTTTGGGAGTGGCTGAGGAGCAAAAAGAGGCTGCTGGGCTGATTGGCAGGTGGGAAAATGCCTCAAATTCCCGGATCAGGAATTCCCTGTGCTGTGCAAGAGCTGGCCCATCACACACCCCCCATCACCTCTTGCCCTGTGCCTTCCCTGGCTCTGCTCTTTCCCCAGGATCTCGGGGGTTCCCTGGCCGGGTTGCCATGGAAACTCTCCTCAATTTGGCATCTTTGCTGCATCTTCTCTCACCTGGACCGTGTGTGGGTCCTGAGTCTGTGCTGGGTGTGCAGGGAGGACAGTCCTGCACCCTCCTAAAACCTGCACCCTCCTCATCCTCCCAAAA